ACGAGGAGCAAGTTTCTTGATGATGCTGCTGACTCAGGGGCAGTTCTTAAAAGTCAAAATACAGTTCTGAGAACAAAACAGGACTAGAGGGAGTGGTTATAATGAAAGGGTTCAGAAAGTTTTGTGTAATTTGAAGGTAAAAAGATCTACTGGCTAAGTTTAGACTTTGTTAATACATATGTCAAAATGCTCAGGTGATCTGGAAAACAGAAATAGAGTGCATAACTTCCAAGCCAGTAAAAAGAAAAGGTGGTAAAAACTCAAAGCAAGGAAGGAGAAAAACAATAGAAGGCAGGACAAATAGAAAGTATTGCTTATATATGCCCTGGCCGGTTTGGCTCAGCGGTTAGAGGGTCGGACCGCGGACCAGAGAGTCTCGGGTTTGGTTCCCCCTAAGGGCACGTACTTTGGTTGCGGATTGTCCCCAGCCCTGGTTGGGGTCCCATGGGCAGCAGCCACTCAATGAGTCTCTCACATTGATGTTTCTCTCTCTCCCTCCAGCTCTATCTGAAGATAAATGCAAAAATGTCCTCGGGTGAGGATAAAAAAAAGAAAGAAAAAGTATTGCTTGTATAGAACAGAAACACTCTGTTTTTGTTTTTGTTTTTTGGTACGTGACGCTTGCGGGAACCGAACCCAGGACTCTCTGGTCCACAGACCGACGCTACAACCGCTGAGCCAAACCAGCCAGGGTGACCACTCTGTTTTTGTTTAAGCAGAAAAGTAATTTTCTAGACCATTTTAGGTGACTCATTGTGATGGTTAATTTTACACGTCAACCTGACTAGGCTAAGGGATGCCCGGAGAGCTGGTAAAACAGTACTTCTTGGGTGTGTTTGTGAGGGTGTTTCTGGAAGAGATTAGCATTGAGTCGGCAACTGAGGAAAGTCCTCCTCACCAGTGCAGGTAAGCGTCATTCAGTCTGTTGAGAGCCTGAATAGGAATAGGAAAAATAAACCAAAACAAACAAAAATTATGAAGGAAGAAACTAGTGTTTGAGCAGGGACATCCATCTTCTGCCCTCGTACATCATCACTCCTCAGGCCCTTCTGGCTCGTTTTCAGGCTCTACCTGGAGAAACACTGTGCTGACTTCTAATCGCATAGATTAATTTCGCCTGTTTTTGTATTAAATGGAAGCAGAAGCAGGCAGTGTGTATAATTTTATGTCTGATCTTTACCTCTATCACGTCCAAGATTCATCCATATTATTCATTCTGTTAGAGGAATAGCCATCATTTATCCCTTCTACTGTTGATGGACATTTGGGTTGCTTCCAGTTTGGGATGGTTATAAATAGTGGTGTTCTGAACATTCTTGTTCGTGTCTTTGGCTGAACATATGTACATTGTTCTGTTGCGAAGCCAACATTTTTTAGCTCTCTTGAAACAACATTTTATAATGGACATTTTGAAATACTCAGAAGTAGAAGGATGGAATAATGACTGCCCTGTACCCATCACCCAGCTTCAGTGACTATAAACATCTTGCTAGTCCTGCTTCATATATACCCACTCCCCATATTTTTTTTTTTTTTGTTATTTTTTAATATTGGAGTAACTTAAAGCAAATCTCAGATCTCATTACATTCTAATATTTGTATATATGATAATATATATATGTAGTATGTAGATTACATTCATATATACATGTATCTCTAACAGATAAAGATTTTTTTTCTTAACCACCTTGCCAGTACCTAACAAAATACCTAACAAAATAAATACCATCTAATAGCCAGTCTGTTCAAATTTCCCTGATTATCTAAAAAATGTTTTTCTTTAAAATTTTTCTTTATTGATTTTAGAGAGAGAAAGGAAGAGGGAGAGAGCTAGAGACATCGATGAGAGAGAACATCAATTGGCTGCCTCCTGCATGCCCCCCACTGAGGATCGGGCTCACAAACTGGTCATGTGCCCTGACAGGGAATCGAACTAGCAACATTTGGTTCACAGGGTAATGCCCAACCGAGCCACACCAGCCAGAGCTATTTATTTTGCTTAAATATGATTTTATTGATTTTAGAGGGAGAGGGAGAGAGAAACATCGATGAGAGAGAACATCGATTGGTTGCCTCCTGCACACCACCCACTGGGGATTGAGCCCGAAACCTGGGCATGTGCCCCAACTGCGAACAGGATCCAAGACCTCTTGGTACATGGGCAACAGCCAACCGAGCCACATTGGCCAGGTCTTATGTCTTTTATTTTTTATAAAATCAGCTCCTTTGCCTGTAGAATCTCCCACATGCCTGATTGGCTGATTGCATCCTAGTGGTGACATCTAGCATGTTCCTCTGTCCCCCATCATTCTTGGAATCTGGTAGGTAAACCTAGAGGCCATTATTTTGGACAGAAAGTTTCAGAGGTGCTGGTGCTACTGCATCACATCAGGAGGCCTGATCTGCTTTTATTTATTTATTATGTGCCCTGACCGGGAATCGAACTGGCGACCTCTTGGTGCATGGGTCGATGCTCAGCCACTGAGCCACACGGCTGACCGGCTTGTTCTGCTTCTAATGATGTGAAAGGTGATTCGTGGCCTCAGGAATCGATGGCAACATGCATTTGTTATCAAGTTTCCTATCAATTTTTACGGGAAGGGTTAGCAGTTGATCATTATTGCCAACATCCTTCATTCAAGAGGCGTTGCAGTACGGTGATTTCCAAATTATATCCTTAGCTCTGTATTCTTAGTTGGAATTTTTCTATAAGAGCTTCCCATTACAAGCTATTTGGTTATTCTGAAATACAACCAGTACAGGAGAGGCAGGACAATTCTTGATTTTTTTCTTCCTCTTCTTTTTAAACCAATTTCAGCATAAAGACATACAGGTATCAGTCAGAGCCCAGTCAGCAGACTGAAACTGTTATTTAACTGAGAATTTGATCTAAAGAATTGTTAATATGATCTCTGAGAATTGTAAAGGCAAAAAGTGAACATGAGATATCACTGAGCAGTTGGAAGCAGCAGCTACCACCCCCACGTGGGAGCCAAGGAAGTAGGGCTCTAGAGACGGGGCACATGCCAGGAATGTGCAGATGGTGAGTGGGGGGAGACCCAGCCCAGTGACCAAGGAGGGAAAGGGAACTTGAGTGTTCCTCCTGTGCCACATCCCCCCTCCTCTAGGGAACAGCCCCCTCCATGCCCATGACATTCAACCCTAGAAGCCTGACCCTGCAGAGCGAGCCCCTCACCCTGCTTGGCTTTCAGTTACCCCAAGTCTGTATCTGGCTGACTCCTTTCTGAGTTCACCATGGGACAAAGACAGGACCAGCTGGGGAAGCCAGGATAGGGGGCCTCAGTCCTAGGGGCTCTTGTGGCTTTGGTACTGAGGGGCGCCAATAATAGCACCTTGGGACTTCCTTCCTCTCAGTCCACTTCTCTCCTCTCAATCCTCCAGAATAATAATAATAATAATAATAGAATAGCGCCTTGGTTGCAGATGGGTGGGAATTCAGCCCACCAGCCATGTTCCGAGGGGCTGTCTAGAGGGGCACCTTTTTCCAATTGCACCAGGGGACCTAGGATGCAGGGCCCTGCCTGGGCACCCAGGATATGAATTGGAGAGGTTGTCTTAAATCCGCCAGCACCAGAGAAGTGTGTGTGGGGGGAGGCAGGTTCCTGGTCCCGTGGGCTTGCCAGTCCTCCCCACACCATGGGGGGACACAGACAGGGACCATTAGCTGACAGGTGGAGTCACAGGCTGTGTGGCCCTTGGGGCTTGAAGAGGTCTGGAGGACCTGGAAGGGGTGGGCAGCCAGAGGGGGCAGGACCCACCTTGCCCCTGCTCAATGCCCAGGCCACGCCTGCTTTGGACAGTTGGCATCACCAGGCCCAGAATGGCCTCCCTGGGTGGGGAAGGCAGGGCAGGGAGTAGAGAAGGTGCCCTATCAGTGGGGGTTCCCTGTGTGCTGGTGGCACAGAGGGCAGGTTAATGGGTTTCTGTGGCTTAAATCTGGGCTCTTAGAGCCCTTTTGAGGGGCCAGGGGCCACATAGAGGGCCATGGGCTGGACCGCCTCCCAACCCCTTCACACCTGGTGATGTCCTTGTTCAACAGCTGTTCCCATCAGAGCCCCGTGGGCCCGGGCTGACTGCCTGGCTCTGCTCCTTATCCCCAGGCCCAGCCAGCAGATGCTCAGTAAAACGTGTTGAAGTAACAAAAGAACGAACGTTCCCAACTATGCTTTATACGAGCCCCACAAGTCTGAAATCACATTCCCCATTTTGCAGAGAAAAACACCAAGATTCAGCAGCAAGTTGTTGCCTCCGGTCAGCCAGTGAGTAAATGGAAAAATACCCTGAGTTACTGCCCAGCTGGCTCGCCCCCAAGCCCCAGCTAAGAGCTCACTGACCCTCACACCAGCCTGCAGGGCGGGGAAGGGCAAGCACATGGCCTGGGGGTTGGCAGCCACAGGACAGGAAGCTGGCAAATGGTTCCAAACTGGGAGACTTCCTGGAGGAGGCCTCTATCTCTGAAAGACCTTCCAAGTCCCTGACTCACCATTTAGTGTCTACCCTAGTCACTAGGGTCAGTTAAGAGGAATCCTGGGCCAAATCTGGTCGTTCAACCCTGGTCCACTGTTGCTCTAGGCATTTCTAGCTCTGATGATGGCGACAGCCTCCTAATGAGCCATTTCCTACAGATAAACGTGAGCTGCAACATGAGCTTGGCAGAGCCAGAGCTACCATGCCAAGGTCACTGGACTGCCTGTCAACACTTGATGGGCCTCACAGGCTTTTGGAAGAAATGGACTGAGGTTCCCCAAATCCTATACCCAGTCTAGATACCCTGTGGGCACCTCCCTGAGGGAGCTGGGGAGGCACCGAGCTCAAGAGTCTGTGCTGGGTGAGTTTGTCATGCAAAAACTGTCATCAAAAGCAATTAGTTAAGGCAACTGTATTTTGTTCTTTGCTTACATTTTTCCACCCAATTATTTTTTCTTTAATTCACTCTTTTCTCCTACTTATTTTTTGGATTCATTTTTTAAAAAATCTGCACCACCCGGAACATATTTGGGTGCAGGTGGGGGCAGGACGCCAGTTCTGTCCAACACCCATGGGAGCCACGTCACTTCCCTTCCAGGGCTCTGGCTCGTCCCTCAGCAGCTCCTCAAGCCTTCGGAGTCCACTCGGAGGACTCACCCTCCCTGCCGAAGCTGCTCCTGGGGCCAGTCCTGGGAGGCACTGTAAGGACCTCCCGCCCCAAGGCGCTCTCTCCTCCACACACAAGGGGGTGCAAGGACCATGGGGTGGCACCTCCATCCTGCGCAGAGCCCAGTCCCTTCCCTGCCAGGCTGAGCAGTCCCGGGCCCTGGGGGCAGCGGCTGGTGTAGCGCTGGACGCTAGGAGAGCCCGGGTGCCCACGTCTCTAAAACATCCTCCATCTCTTACGGGAAAGCCTGACAAGGGTAAGTAAGAGGTAAGGGAGGCGGGACCTCCGACAGTGGCCAGGAGGTGTGGACAGGGGATTAAGAAGATAAACCACTGGCTTCTCTTCTGCTGGTTGGTGCCCTGGGTGGGGGTGAAGGACTGTCTTAGAAGATCCAGGCTAGTTCTCTGTTCATCTTGTTTAGTTATTCGTGTCTCGTCTGATGATCAAGTCTCACCTTGCAGAGGCCAGACTCTAAGCCACCTCAGAGGGGTCTTGCTCACCTGATTTCCAGGTGAATGAATGAATGAATGAGCTCATTTAATCTTCAGAAGACATCCTGTACAAACGGCAGAACTAAGGCTCAGAGAGGTTCAGTGACTTGCCTGAGGTCACACAGCTGACCACTGAGCCTGCCTGTGGTGCTGTCGATGTTCCCAGCAGCGCCTGTCTTTCCTCCCAGGTCTAACCCTGGAATCTGCACCATGACCAGCGAGGAAAAAATAAGGAAGGAACTTTATTTAATATTAAAGTTGGGGACATCGGAAGGGAGGGTGGCTTCACTTGGTGATGGTGTTCCTGCAGAGAAAAGAAGGGTATGAGGCTGGAGTGCGGCACCCCGGGCCCTCCGCCTGCCCGGCCCACTCGCCCCGGCCCACTCACGCGTTCATGCTCTTGCCACTGCCGCTGAGCACGATGTAGGGGGTCTTCTGGGCCTTTTGCTTTTCCTGAAGCAAAGCCACGGTGCCCAGGGGCGTGTCGCTGGAGCTCATCTTCTTCAGGAGCTGTGGGGTCACGGCCAGTCAGCACTAGGAAGGAGTAGCCACAGCCCAGCAGCCACACTAGATGTGGAAGCCACCCCCACGTCTTCCCCACGGGCCACCTACCGCCTCCTCGTCCAGCTTCTTCATCCGCCGCTCCGTCTTCATCTTGCCTGAGCCTTTCCCGTGGAAGCGGTGCGACAGCTGCCGGAAAGCCTGGGGACATGGCAGGAACCACGTTAGAGCCGCCTGTGCCCCGTGCGGGGAGCAGTGGTGACCCACTTGAGCTGGGATGGTGGGAAGGGGAGGAGAGAAGGGGAGACGGGCACAGGAGATGGATGTGCTGCGCTGGGGGTGCTCAGGACCTCCAGGGACATCCGCTGGGCCGAGGCTGGGCCAGGACACAGGCAGGAGGGAGGAGGCCAGCAAACCCAGGGAGTGTGGGGAAGGGCACGGTGGGGTGAGGGTGGAAGACTGGGGAGGCAGGAGGCAGGCGAGGCCTCCAGCAGGAGCTGGTGTCAGTAAGCACAGGATCAGTCCAGGGCCAGGACACTGCCCACCAGAACGGTGGCCCCGAGGCAGGTCAAGCCACTGAGGGGGCAGGTGAGCAAAGGAACCAAGGAACCTGCCTCACCCTCCCACCAGGCCTGAGGGGGGACTGCTATGCCCACCAGAAAGGAGACAGAGGCACAGAGGTCCCGACACTTCTCCAGGCCCCTAGCCAGTGGCCAACTGAGTCCAGACCCTGTGACATCACCAGAGCCCCGTCTCAGAGCCTCACCTCCTTGGGTGTGAGTTTTCGGCCCGTCTCGTCCACGTACTCAATCTTAACATCAGGCTTGTAGCCGTCCTTCTCCTTGAAGTCCTGGGTGAAGCCCCGGTACTCCTCCCGCCGGCTGTACTTGTCATCAATGGCCCTGGAGCCAGACACAGGGCCTCAGGACCAGACCCCGCCCACTGTGCCTGGGTTCTGGGTAGTTCTGAGCCACCGCCAGCCCCTGGCCTTCCACCTCCCCGGCCACACTTACATCTTGTCCTCGATGCAGTACACCGCGGATGGCAGGGACTTGTTGGGCGCCTTCACTCGGGCCACCTTCTGCACTGTTGTCTCCAGCAGCCCTGGGCAGAGGGTGCAGTGAGATGCCAGGCCGTCCTGCCCATCGCAGGGGCACAGCCCAGGGCAAGCCTGACACCCCCAACTGCTCAGAAGGCATTGTGGGTCCCTCACAGCCATGCTGTGGGAGTAGAGGCATCAGGCCTGTTTTGCAGACAGAGGAAAGAAACTCAGAGAAATCAGGCCCTTGTCAAGGGCCACTGACCAAGTAAATGGCACAGTTGGGACCCTAATGCCAGGGTCTCTGTGCCACAGCCTGAATGGCTTCAAGTCCCCCACTCTTCCTCAGGAACACTGAGCCTTGAGGGATAAATGGTGCTTCGTAGGGGGACATGTGAGCAGCCATAACAAATAGGGTGATGGAGAGCAGGCCAGACACTCCCATGACTGCCCCCCAGCCAGGTGCAAAAGGAGAGGCTCGTGGGTCCTGGGGGTACGGCTCACAGCACTGGGAACAAAAGGAAGACAGCGGAAGGGACCAGAGGAAGCCATGCTGGCACCTGGCTGGCACAGCACCCAGGCCCCAGCAAGGCTCATGGCGGCCCGGAGCCCCTACCTTTGTTCTGACACAGGAGCAGCGCAGCTGCCAGCCCTCTATTCACGATGGGCTCCTCGTCCAGGATGGTGGTGGAGGAGGCGGAGAACTGGGGGGCGGCACACAGTGGTGAGTGGGCCACATGGACTCTTCTCACCCCCTACCCAACAGTCACCCCCACCACACACGACTGCGGTCCCTTCCATGCCCAGGCCCTGTGTGCCCCATTTACAGGCAAGGAGACTAAGGCTCTGGGACACTTGGTAACTTGCCCAATGCCCCAGAGCTAGGAGTGGGCAGAGCTGGGGCTGGAGCCCAGGCGGTCTGCCTCCAGCCCCAACTCCACGAGGCTGTGTGGTCCCTTCCATCCTCCCAGCCCCCGCTCACTTTTCCCCCTCCTCACATCCTGATGCTGCTTCTCCTCGTCCAGGTTGACTGTGCTCCAGCCAATGTTCTCCTCCCCGTCGGACTCAGAGCCACCATTGGCTGAGCGCTCCTCGTCCCGTTCGAAGTCCTGAAGGACAGAAGACCAGTGTCAGCCCAGGAGGCCCATCTGGACACAGGCTCATCACTGAGGACCACTGGGGCCAGCACTGCTGCCCACACCAGGTCCTCAGCCAAAAGCAGACAGGTCAGTGGGGGAGGTGCTGCTTGGAGACACACCATGAGCTCCTCCTGCTCCTCCCGGTTGCCGGCCAGCCCGTAGGTGGGGATCTCCCCCAAGGTGCGGCAGAACTCCGATGTGGCGTTGAACACGATGGCCCCCTTCCGCTCGGGATCCTCATCCTCCTCCCAGCCCCGCTGACGGGACTCCAGCTTCTTCACAATCTCCACCACCTGGAGGAGGGAACAGCTGTGGGCAAACCCAGAAGTTTCTAGGGCAGTGCCATTGAGACCCAGGAACCCAAGATCCTCCCTGGTAGCAGCAAGACAAGCCATTCCCACTGCCTGCAGCAGACCTGTGATGGTCTCCACATCCTCCCTGACCTTTATAGCTCTCTACTCTGCTCCTGCATCAATCTCATTAGATCACTCCTCTGCTCCAAAACCATCACTGGCTCCCTACTGCACTTTGAATCAATATTCAACTGAGCCACTCAGCCAAGGCATGGTTCAGGTAAGTTTAAAAAACTTGCTTGGGCCCTGGGCAGTTTGGCCCAGCGGTCGGAGCGTCGGCCCATGGACCAGCAAGTCCCAGGTTCGTTTCCCGCTAAGGGCACGTACCTTAGTTGCAGTTTGTCTTTAGCCCTGGTTGGGATCATGTGGGTGGCAACCACTCGATGTGTCTCTCTCACATCAATGTTTCTCTCTCTTTCTCCCTCTCTCCCTCCCACTCTATCTGAAGATAAATGCAAAAGTGTCCTCAGGTGAGGATAAAAAAAAAAACTTGCTTGGTGATTATAAATGTATAGCCAGGCTGAGAATCACTAGGCTCCATAACCTTTATAATCCTTTCAGCCATAAACTCTGTGATTCTTGAATATAATTGTTTAATATTAATGCTATAAATCATGAAGTGTGAAAAAGAAAAACTTTCCTCAACTCACAGCCCCTTCAGCTACTGCCCCATTTCTCTGATTCTCTTTGGAGCAGGGGAGGGCAAGCCATGGCCCGCCACCTGTCTCACCAGTGCAGTTACATGGGAACACAGCCATGCCCATTCGTTTACAAACCGTATGTGGCTGCTTTTGACACAATGGCCAAGAATCTTAGTTCTGACCGCGACCATAAGCCCTTAAGCCTCATATATCTCAGGCCCTTTAACAAAAAGCCTGCCAACTCCTGCTCTGAGGAAGTGTTTCAAGTTGCTGCCCTCACTTCTGCAACCCCCACCTCTTCCTGTCCTCCTGAATCACTGGAACTGTCTCAACTGCCACATCTGACCACCTCTCAGTGGTGTCAGAAGATGCCTATTCCATCTCCTCAAAACCCCTTCCAGCTTCTGTGACACCTCACTCCTGTGGTCTTCCTCCCACCATAGGGCTGCTGCTTCTCCAGACTCTTCTGCAGGGACTCCGCCTCTACCCACCCCGGAGGCAACCCTGCTTCACTGCTCCAGCCTCTCTCCAACCCCTCTCTCCCCCCGTAGGTGGTAGATGTAGGGTTAAAAGTATGGACTCTGGCCTGGCCAGTGTGGCTCAGTGGATTGAGCATCGTCCCATGGACTGAGAGGTCCCAGTTTGATACCCGGTCGTGGAACATGCCCGGGTTGTGGGCGTGCAGGAGGCAGCCAATCCATGTTTCTCTCTCACATCGATGTTCCTATCTCCCTCTCCCTTCCTGTCTAAAAAATCAATCAAAACATATTACAGCCAGGCCGGTGTGGCTCAATGATTGACGACGACCCATGCACCAAGAGGTCGCTGGTTTGATTCCTAGTCAGAGCACATGCCCAGGTTGTGGGCCTGATCCCCAGTTGGGGGCATGCAGGAGGCGACCAATCGATGTTCTCTCGCATCAATGTTTCTCTCTCTCTAAAATCAATAAAGAAAAATTTAAAAACCATATTTTTAAAAAAATGAGGATTCTGGAGTCAAGCTGTTAAAATCCCAGCTGAGCCACTTAACAGTCATGTAAACTTGGGCAACTTGCCTAATGCTTCTGTGCCTCAGTTTCTTCATCTGTAACATGGAGATAACAAAACTTTCCTCATAGGGTGCTGCTATGAGGATTCAATGAATCAATACATAAAGCACATAAGCAGTGCCTGGCACATGTTAGTGCCTTTTCAGGGTCAGCGGTGACCTTGGCCTCAAGGTCCCATTGACCATCTTTCCACTTCAGCTCTACCCTCACTCTGTTCTACCCTATTGGGTCCTCAAGCATGCTAAGGTCATTTTCCAAAAGACATCTGCTGTCCTGGCTGCCTCCACCTACCTAGTCCACCCTACCTCTAACCACAAATCTTTGCAAGGGCGTCTCCTTTGTGTTACTTTAGTCTCAGCTCAAATGGCACCCCTTGAAAGGTCTTCCCTGAATACCGGCCCAAGATACCAACCCTCCACTTATTCTCCCAAGCCATCTTGTTTTGTCTGTCCAGCTCTGATTACTATCAGAACTTACTGTTTGCTCATGTTCACTCAGGTTTCTCCCCTAGCCCCCAACTAGAAAGTCAGTTCCCTGAGCACAGAGCCTCTTGGCTGCGCTGCTTACCAGTGACTCCCAGCCCCTAGGGTAACGCCTTACTCACAGCAGGCATGCAACATGTATTCACAGAAGGACAGACAGGGAAAACCTGACCACTAAAACATCATATAGTGAGCCCTGGCCGGTTTGGCTCAGCGGTTAGAGCGTCGGCCTGCGGTACAGAGAGACCCGGGTTCGGTTCCCGCTAAGGGCACGTACCTAGGTTGCAGTTTGTCCCCGGCCCTGGTTGGTCGTGCGGGTGGCAACCACTCGATGTGTCCCTTCACATCGATGTTTCTCTCTCTCTCTTCCTCTCCCTCCCGCTCTGTCTGAACAAAAAAAAAATGCAAAAATGTCCTCGGGTGAGGATAAAAAAAAAGCTAAAACATCATATAGTGAAAACATTGCGGATATCTAAAAATCTGCAAATAACAAAAATGAAAGAACAGGTCAGCAGTCCGGCCGGCGTGGCTCAGTGGCTGAGCATCGACCCATGTACCAAGAGGTCGCCGGTTCAATTCCCAGTCAGGACACATGCCCAGGTTGTGGGCCGGATCCCCAGTGGGGATGCAGGAGGCGGCCAATCGATGTTCTCTCTCATCAATGTTTCTATCATTCTCTCCCTCTCACTTCCTCTCTCTTTAAAATCAATAAAGGAAAAAAAAAATTTTTTTTTAAAAGAAAGAACAGATCAGCAAAGACACACCTGTCACTCAGTCCTGCTGAGGCCCACACCCACCTGCGCCCACGCACAGCCTCGAGGGACCCTTACCTTCTCACCGCTGTCTCGCAGCTGGTGTAGCTGCTGCAGCTGCCGCAACCGGCGCCCCTTCTCCAGCTGCTTCTGCAGCTCCAGCTCCGCCTCATCCTCCTCCAGCATCTCTGGGGACCCAGGTGGCAGTGCTCCACCCTCCTCTGGTGGAAACACAGGAGATGCCTGCTCAGGTCATCCTCTTCCTCTTGGACCCTGGGCTCTTTTCCCTGCCCCTCCTGCCCACCCTCGGCAGGCGGGGTCCCCTCACCCTCATCGCTGATGTCCATGTTCTCCACTCGAGTGTCATCTGACTGTGAGGGCTGAGGCACAGGCTCCTTCTCCTCCTCCTCCTCCTCCTGGGCCTCCTCATCTCCATCAAGCACTCGGCGCCGACCCCGGCCCCGCAGTCTGGGTGTAACAGACCTCCCCAGTGAGCACTGGCCCCTAGGCCAGCCCAGCCCCCACACCTCACCCCTGTGTCCAAACCCACCTAGAACCAAAGTCCCCATCTTGAGTCTGGTCCCCAAGAGGCAGCAAGTCATCAGCCCGCACCACCACCTCCTTCTCCTTCTTGCGGATTTTCTTCACCTTCCGCTTGGTCTTTTTAAAGGTCACCTAAGGGGAGAAGAGAGACATGAAGGAGGAAGGGGAGAGGTGGGCAGCCACAAGCCCACAAGAACGCACACTTCTTACACAGAAACAAGACGTGCGGTGCGTGCGCTGAGAGGAGGAACACTGTGGCACAGAGGTTGAGTACCTTGCCCCAGGTCACCCAGCAACTAAGGGGGAGAGCTGGGATTGTGAATCTTGGGGGGCATGGCCCCAGAGTCCTGCTCTCAGCCACTTAGCCACGCAATCTACTGAATCTGTGTTCACACAGTCATCCCAAATCCACATACAGCTGTAAAATTACCACTCACCAAAGTATCATCAACCTTGCAACAGCCCGTAAGAGGTGGCTCCCACAATCCGCATTTCAGATGGGGGGCCTCGCAGTGAAATAACTCAGCTAAGGCACAGGCTGGCTATGTGGCAGAGCCTCAACATAAAGGAGGTCCATCTGGCTCACAGTCCCTGTTCTGTCTATACCCACTGCCCCCAGCATCTCCCCGGGGCTACCAATCACTGCTCCTCCACGAGAAGCACCACCAGAAGACTAGATCGCCCTTCTGAGCGCGTTCTGCTGGGAGGCAGGACTGCCCGTGACAAGCGTGGGCAGTGTGGGCAGTGGCCGCAGGGCTCACCATCTCCTCTGGCGTGAGGTACTCGGAGGCCAGCCGGGGCCCGACGGTGCTCAGGGACTGAGCTTGCAGCCGCAGCTTGGCCCGGATCTCTTCCAGCTCACGTTCCCGAAGGCCGTCGGCAATGCCGCCCTGTTCCAAACGGAAGGAGTGCGGCCGCTCGCCCTCCAGCTCCTCATCGTACTTGGCCAGGATAGAGCGGGGTTTTTGCTGCAAGGCAAGAGGTACAGGTTGGGACCAGCCTGGCTCCTGAAAAGCCACAGAGCCACCAATTCCTCAGAGCCCCCACTGCGGAGGTCCCCTGCCCCAGCTCCCACGCTGCCGCCTGCCTGTGCCAAGTCGTCCACACTCTCGCCCTCCGCATAGGGCAGGTAGTCGGGCTTTTTCTTCCGCAACTCCACATTTTTCTTTGCCCGCTCCTTATCCACTAGGTTCACGTTCACCAGCACATCCTCCTCCTCCTGCAGCACACCTGGAGACAGGGCAGGGGCAGTGCCAACTCACATGTGCCCTCAAGTCAGCAGTAACTGTGCCCCCAACCAGAGGACCCCAGCTCCACCCACCTTTGTCCTTAAGGGTAAGGATCATAGTCTCCCCTTCTTGGAAGGAATCAATGGCATGCTCCACGGTGAGGCCCTGCAGGTCCCGGGCACTGTACAGGTCCTAGGAGGGAGGGGGAAAGTCCGGCCAAGTCAGGAGTTATGACCCACCCAACCCCAGGATCCCAGCACCAAGGACAGCAGTGCCACCCCAACCCCACTGCCACAGCAACCTCACCTGCCGCCTCTGCCCGAACTCCTCCTCCACCAGAGTGCTAACTCCAAATTCTTGGTCCATCTCTTCCAGCAGCTTGGCCTGTGGAACAAAGCGGGGTGACCTATGACCACAGGCCATTCAGGTTCACCTGAAGACACAGGGCTTTATCAAGTGGGAGTGCACAGGGCAGGCCCTGCAGGCTAGCTGCTGAGAACCCAAAGCAGACGCCACTGACCACAAACCTCCTACCTCTCAGCCCAGCGTCCTGCCTCACCAGCGAGTCAGGCCACCAGGGGCACTGGGCAACCACCCCAGCTGCCCAGGTCCTCACCCTCTTCTCTGCCAAGTCCTTCTCCTTCTGAAGCTGCCGGCTCCTCTCAATCCAGGCTGCAGTGTCATCCAGCCAAGGGTCATCCTCCCCCAGAGTCTTTACCTTCCTGAAGAGGGAAAAAGGGACCGTTTGGGAGCCCACCCCGACCGCAGAGCTCCCTGGCAGTTCCTCAGGCCCTTCCCTCGCCCGCTCTGGCTGGGACCCCTCACCCCAGCTTCTGGTTCAGGAGGCGCTTTTCTTTGGCAGCCGCCAGCTTTTCTCGTAGCTCCTCTCGCTGTCTCAAGGCCATGGGGTTGATGACATCAGCTGCCACGGGCTCCTCCTTGGTGCCCGCCTCTGGAAGGGGGGCCCAGACGTGAGGCTATGCCTGCCCATGGCTGGTGGGGAGAGGAGGGAGCCACTCACCCTGCCCCTTCCAGCTCAGGGGGCCAGAAGGGGCCAGGAGAAAGGGGAAGGACCCTTCACCTTCCTGTTCCCACTTTATCGCCACACTCCCATGTCACCCACACGGCATGATGGGACCCTCCATGTCTTCCAAAGCCCCTCAAATCATACTTTAAAAAACCCCACCCCTACACAGCCCCCAATCTGTGTGTAGCAACTGTGCACATCTCTCGGCCCATCTAATGCTATCTCACAGCCAGAGGAGGCGGCAGTGCCAACTGTCCCAACTTAAAGAATAAGCTGAGCTGCTCTGTCTGTGGAGTAGCCACTCTGAGTCTCACCGCTTCACTAATAAAATCTCTTTCACTTTAAACTTGGCAGGGAGGGAGGGAGGGAGTGAGGGAAGGAAGGAAGGAGGGAAGATAAACTAAGTGCCATTATGAAAGCAAGAAGTCCCATGTCTGTCAGCACATACACAAACACAAGACCACTAGCTGGTACTGAACCTGGGCTCTAACCCCCTCTCTTCCACCCAAACGTCCTCCCTCACCCCCATCCTCAGCCACACACTCACCCTTCTTGACAGCATTGACCTCCAAGGGTTTCAGCCCCAACTTTGCCCGGAGTTTACTGAGGACAAAAGATACAAGTGTAAAGAGCTGTCAAAAAAACAACAATGGAGCACCAAATGCATTTCTGGATAGCCAGGGGTTGAAAACTGGACGGGACTGAGTGGTCCTAAGGGTCCCAAACAGTCTGACCCGGGCAGTCCAGGGCATTGGGAAGGGCACTGGCCTCCAAATCAGAGAACATGGGCACTGGGCCGGGCCTGCCCCTAACCAGTGGAATGCCATCCTTCCTCTTCTATAACCCGAATGGTTGGCTAACATGATTTATATGGCACTTCCAATTCCAGCCAGAACACCTTAGTGTGTGAAAGCTTCCCTAAAGCAGCTGCTGCAGACCTACCTGTTTCAGAAGGAAAAAGTGGAGACAAAGAAGACAGTACTTACTTGGTCTCCTCGATGCTAAGTGACGAGGCATCTCCTGAGCTGGTTTTGGAACTGGCCGCTGGAACAACAAGAAGCATGGCTCAGGAGCCGAACACAAAGCCAAGTAGCCACATCCTTGGCCCCAGCTGCAGGGCCCCTCACCAGCACCAGGCCTTGCTGAGATACAGAAAACAGCAGCATCCTCCCACCCCGGTAACTCCTTCTACCTGAGCCCCATTCTCTGAGAAGCACACCTCTTCCACATACCTGCCTGTCTTGACCCAAAATGCCCAATGTGCTGCATCCCTCACTTTGCTGCCTCTTCCCTTGTCTGTATGCTGTGTTTTCAACACGTGTTGCCCTCTCTGGCCTCACTCTGACTGACAAAGTCCTATCCAAATGACACCTCCTTCATGAAGTCCTGTTCAAACACTGATCCAAATGAACTGCTCTCCTCAAACTCCACAGCATGGTCAGTCATTTCCAGGTCTGTTACTCCCCACAAGGCAGGGACTGTGTTGGCAGCATGACCATGTGCTCTGCAATTCATGTAATCAAGAAACACACTTATTGGTGCCTGCTCTGTGTTGGATGTTGGGAACACAGAGATAAAGAAGCATTTCAAACTTTCTCCAACCACCTCACAAACAGCAAACTAACTTCACTGAACACACAAACAGAAGCTGGACACCCTCAGATGGAGTTCCTCCAACCAGCTGCCTCCACCTGCTCATCCTCCCTGCCTCCCCCTTCCCCTTTTATCCCACCTGGACCCTGGATCTCAACCCCTCCAGACTCTTCAAGGTGATCAGCTTCCTTATTTCTAAACCCAATGGATTCTTTTCCTGGTTGTACTTGATTTCCTGTGGTATGTGACACCTTTGATCACTTTCTTCTTCTCACAATACACTTTTCCCACAAATCCCATGACACAAGATTCTATTGTTTTTCTACCTTTTTGGCTATTCTACCTCCTTTCCTGTAGTGTTTTGCTCCACCTGCTACTAAAATATTAGCATTTCTCAAGTTCTACTCTTTTGTTGTTGTTGTTGTTTTAATCATCACCCGAGGACATTTTTCCACTTTTTGTTCAGACAGAGTGGGAAGGAAAGAGAGGAAGAGAGAGAGAGAGAGAGAGAGAGAGAGAAACATTGACGTGAAGGAGACATATCTCAAGTGGCTGCCACCCGCACGACCAACCAGGGCCCGGGACAAACTGCAACTGAGGTACATGCCCTCAGCGGGAACTGAACCTGGGTCTCTCTGGACTGCAGGCCGACACTCTAACTGCTGACACAAACCGGCCAGGGCCTCAGGTACTCTTGACCCTGGCTTGTCACTCCCTGCTCTCTCAGGAGACTTCATTTGCCAGCTACACACGTCTCTCTCCCAAACTGCTCTAGGCAGCCCAGACCCTGGGTTTCTCATAGGTTTCTGCTATGCACGTCAAGTGCAACACTCTCCAAATCTGAATTCATTATCTTGCCCCAAAAGTCTGCTTCTCTTCCAAACTCCTCAACTTCAGTGGATGACACCACCAACCACCTAGTTGCTCGAGACAAATTTCCAGTCATCCTCAGTTCCTTCTTTTCCTTCCCACCATCATTCAAGTGTATTAATTCCTCTTCCAAATGACTTCTTCAACCTGTCCAAGTCTCTCCATCACAAGGCTGCTGCTTTGGTGCAGGCCACACCTGGCCTCCAGTCTTCACTACCCCGACCCAGTTCTGTGCCGTGATCGTCACAAAATATGAATATGATCAACTCACGCCCCAATTCAAATGCATGGATGGCTCTCTACTACCTCAGGACAAAGTTCCAACTTAACAGGGCTTAGCGGGCCCTTTGTGTCCGGACCCCTACCTATTTTACAGCCTCGTGTCTCTAAAGCGAGCTCTACACAATTCGCCCGCCCCACACCGGGTTTTCTCCAGCCCCTGGTATATGCTGGTACCACTTCATTCATTCATTCGTACATTCATTCACTCATAACATTTATTAAGGGCCTGTGATGTTCCAATCGAGCAAAACGAAATCTCTGCCCTCACAGAGCTTAGTAGAGGAAGACAACCTTTAAATTCCAAATACCCTTAAGACCTTTGTAAAAGTGCTGACAAGGGGAGCCTGCGGATGCCTCCGCCTGGAGTGCTGGGCCGGCACCGCCTCCAAACCCAAGGACCCCCGCCGCCCCGGACTCCCGGGCCGCCCGCCCCGCCCCTGCGCAGGCCCCGCCCCTCACCGGCCTCGTAGCCTTCATCGCGCTTCTCCCGCTTCACGCGCCGCTCGGAGGGCTCGACCTGGCTGCGCTCCCGCCCGTGCGCACCGCTGCGGGTGTCGGTCTCGGTCCCGCGCCGCCCGCCCCCGCGCTCGGCTCCCCGCTCCCGGCTCCGCTTCCGTCGTTCGCCACCGCTGCTGCTGCCGCCGCCGCTACTCCGGTGCTTGTGTTTTTTATGCTCCCGGTGTCGCGGTTGCTGCTCCGTGGCGCTCCCGGTACCGTTCGCCGCCGTCGTCCCGGCTGCCTCCTTCTCCCCGCGGTGCTTCTTTGATGACCCCATGGTGGAGCGTCTGCCCCGAGCCCAGCCGCCACGGAGCCTCGACACGCAAAATGGGAAAACTTCCGGGTCGCCCTGGAGCCGCTGTAGTGTTGCCGGAAACCGAGAGTGGCTGCTTCCGTCGTTCGCGTCGGAGCCTGCCTCAGAGGCTCATGGGAAGGAGCTCGAATGCGCAATCGCAGCGGCCTCGGGCTGGATAGAGGGCTTGGAGCCGGTGGTCCGACTGCGCGTGCGCTCCTTCAGGTGCGCGATCCTGGTCGGGACAAGGTCTGGAGAGGACTGGGTCATAGAACGATAAGGACCATAGAGGGCATCTGAGCCAGCATCCCCAAAACTGGAGGCGCCTCCCCGGCCTCCCTTCGCTTGCACACCCCCCGCTACCGGACGCTTACTGTCTCACGGACTTGCCGTGGACAGCTCCCGCCGCTCCAATAAGGCGTCCTCCTAATGGACTCCCTGGGATCGTGCCTCCCTCGGGTGCTGGACGACCCAGCGTGCTCTCCTCGAGACCCCCAGCTCCACAGCCCAGCCTCCGAGTCCCTCTAACCAGTATTGTCAGCAAGTGCTGTTTTCCCACGTTCTCTGGGTTGAGTTTTTTAACCTGAGATCTGTGAACGGCTAAGGAGCTACAAAAGAGCTGTGTCTGAACATCCTGAAACTGGGTGCAAAATTTGGCACAATTGTGTGTGTGAGCTTTTTGGGTTTTGTTGTTGTTGTTTCTTGAGGAGAGGGGCTATAACTTGAAGTTACTTAAAGTTGAAAGCCCAGTTCACACAATCTCTCCTGACCCCCAACCCCGTCACCCAGTTGCTCTATCTGGGGGCACCTGTGCGGTCCATCTGCTACAGTGTGATGTGTGTGCCCCTTTAAAGGTCCGCCCTTCTCCCCTATGGGACTGGGAGTTCTCAAAAGCAGAGACCATCCTGTCCTATTCACTCTTGAATTTCTAGCACCCAGCATATATGCTGGAGACTGGGGATGGGGACATGGGGGGTGAAGTGTCAGCTGTTGCTCTCTGAGATGCCCCACTCCGAAAGAGCATACACCCAGACATAAGGCTGTGGGTGCTGGGTACTGGCGGCTGGAACAGCCAGAGCCCCTAGGGGATGGGGGTGAGGGGACAAATTAAACCTGCTGTCTACCCACCTGCCACTTCCTACTCCCAACCCGCAGTCTTTTCCCACCACCACTACCACCAGAAATCCCACACGATATTTTCCAAAAAGCCTTTAATTTTTATCTAAGGGACTGGATTCCCAGTCTGGGCTTGGGGTGGAGTGCCTCTCAGGCTGGCTGCTGGTAGGTTCTGTCCTTGGGGAGGGCTCTGAGAAGAGTGTTCCGTCCTTTCTCCTATTGACCTGTGGCTCCTTAAACACAAAGGCAAAGTTAGAGGCCATTGGACTGGGCAGCTCCCCAACCCCCACACCCAAGGACACCTGGGCTGTAGGAGGGGAAGGGCCATTGTCACTGATGATATGGTTTCAAATCGGACTCCTACACTGTGTGACCCTGAGGAGGTAACTTTCTGTCTTTGAGCCTCAGTTCCCTTCTTATGAATTAGGATTCAGAACCCCTGCTCTGCTCCTGGTTGCTCATCCTTTCCCCAGACTTCTAGCACAAGTCGAAGGGGGGCAGGGAGATGGCTGGAGGAGACCCTGTGGGCCCAGAGTGTTGGTGGTGGCACCTCTTCTCCCCACAGCTGGACAGAGCCAGTTAATCGGCCGGCTAGACGGCCTCACCTGGGTTTCCTGGAGGTGCCCTTCAGGTCCCCCTTTCTTGCCTCAGCCAGCAGCTGTTCCTCATCCAGTCCCAGTGCCGACAGCACCTGGGAGAAGCGCCTGGTGACAGTGTGCCGGGCGTTGGCCTGAGGAGAGGGAGTCCCACTGTGTACCAGGGCCACAGGACAAGTGGCCTGATTACTGAGGGGGTGTCAGGGCTTCCAGATGGGCAGCAGCCTGGGGTCCTATCCAGTGAAAAGCTGTGTTCTCGGGGGGAGGCCTCACCTGCATGGCCTGCTGGAACAGGTAGGGCCGGGCCTGCACCCTGTGCTGGATGCCCTGCAGCTCTGCCTGGTACTCGGCAAAGCGCTGTCGCTCCTGGCGCCTGTGGGGAGATGGCCTCTGGGCAGCTGACATGGACAAAACCCATCCCCACTTCTGAGCCACTTGTCTTCACTAAGGACCTTATGTCTGCCCGCCCTTACCTTTACAAAGTCATTTCATTCCCATCCTCACCCTGGCTTCCTCCTGAGGTCAGTGGGGTAGGAATTAGTATTTGCCCCATTTTACCCATGACTCCCCTGAGGCACAAGAGGGTGGAGGGACTTGTCCAAGGTTGCACAGCTGAGATATGAGTGACTGAGCCATGAGCCAGAGTCTCCAGGCTGTGCAACCAGTGCTCACTCATCCTCCTGGCCACCCACAAGAGAGAGGGGCCAGTGCTGGCTTCTGAGCTACTGGGTGTCTGCTCCACAGCTTCTCCCCTCCCCATGTCCTCACCCTGCACCTTCTCACATTGCACCTGTGAGCAGGAGGCTGTCGGCTGTGGCTCTGGGCAAAGCCCTGCACTGGGCTCTGGGCTGCTTTCTTCTCTGTACTATAGCAGGGATTGGATGAGCTTGCCAGCATTTGCTGGGGTTCTTATAAGCAGACAGCTTAGAAAATGGGACAGAGCAACTAAAAAATGTGTTGCACATAAAAGAACACATCCCCTTGCCCTGGACAGTTTGGCTAAGCGGTTAGAGCGTCAGCCTGCGGTCCAGAGAGACCCGGGTTCGATTCCTGCTAGGGGCATGTACTTTGGTTGCAGTCTGTCCCCGGCCCTGGTTGGGTCGTGTGGGTGGCGGCCACTCGATGTGTCCCTTTCACATCAATGTCTCTCTCTCTCTCCCTCTCTTCTTCTTTCTCCCTCCCACTCTATCTGAACAAAAAATGGAAAAATGTCCTTGAGTGAAGATAAAAAAAGAACACATCTCGGAAAGATCAAGGTTCCACTGGAGGAGCACAAATCCATTTACAAAACCCAATTCGTGCACTCGTCGGAAATGTGTCTGCTCGACTAGCTGGGCCTCCTGGCAGGTAGAGGGGCCCTCTGGCCATGTCACACACAGGCCCAGGCATCCTCTGTGAGACACATAAGAGAGGCCCGGGGGTGGGGGCAGAGGACAGCATGGCAACACGTCAGACAGTACAGAAGGGGAGAAGACTCCAACTTGTGCTGGGACCTCCAGCAAGACGGTTGAGCCCTGGAGAAGACTGCCTTGCTGGACCCTTGGCTATGAGCAGGGAGGGAATCTTCCTCCATTCAAGAAAAAGAGACGGCCCTGCTGGTGTGACTCAGTGGTTGAGCATCGACCCATGCACCAAGAGGTCACCGGTTCGATTCCTGGTCAGGGCACATGCCCAGGTTGTGGGCTCGATCCCCACTGGGGGGCATGCAGGAGGCAGCCAATCGATGTTCTCGCTCATCAGCATCTCTATCTCTCTCTCCCCCTCTCCCTTCCTCTCTCTCTAAAACCAATAAAGAAAAATTATTTTAAAAAAGAAAGAAAAAGAGATAGACTTGAAATGTTACTGAAAGAAGGAGTCTTTGCCATTCAAGAGGGAATTGACATCGGTTACGGGGGGCGGGGGTGAGCTGGCATTCGGTCCCTGTCTTGCCCATGACGTCATGAACACTTTCCTGCTTGATTCTGTGAGCTCTGTTAGCACTGAGAGAAAGCATGTGTCTGGGAGCCCGAGTGAAAAAGGCAGTGTGTCAGTGGATGTCAGTCGTGCTCCTCATCGTGGAATGCAAGGAAGGCATGCCTCCGCACCTCCTTCCCGGTCCGGGCGGTCTCCAGGGCAGCCCAGGCGGAGGAGGTCCACAGGCTGTGAGGGCTGAGAGACCCTGTGGGGAAAACCTGCTCCCAAGTAGAAAATAAAAGCTACAGTGGGTTGCAGATTTAATCCCTGGCCCCGGTCAGGGCACATGCTGGAGGCAACCAATTGATGTGTCTTTCACATCCCGTGTTTCTCTTTCTCTCTCCCCACACCCCTACACTCCCTTCCACTCTCTTTAAAAATCAATGGAGAAAACATCCTCAGGTGAGGATTAACAAAAATAAATAAAGTAAAAGGTACATGTTTGAAATATTCCTCTCACCGTCTGCCCCTTGGAGTTTGCAATCTTATGCTTCCTGCCTTAGTGAAAAACAATGAACTTGAGCCCTGGCCAGTTTGGCTCAGCAGTTAGAGCGTCGGCCTGCAGTCCAGAGGGATCCGGGTTTGGTTCCCGCTAAGGGCACGTACCTCGGCTGCAGTTTTTCCCGGGCCCGTAGGTGTTCGATATCCATGGCATCGGTGATCATAATGTTACGTGTTTCACCAGGCAGGGCTTTGGGGGAAGATCCTGGGTTTCGAGCCCTCCGAGGCAGTGTAGCAGGGCGGCTGCTAACTGGCTGCCTGGGTTGGAATCCCAGCTTCGAAGCTCACTTGTTACTTTTGGCAAATTAAGTTCTCTGAGCCTCGGTTTCCTCATCTTTAGACTCATGGGAATGGTGATAATGCCTGCCTCATGGATCTGCTATGAGTCTAAAAGAGATTTTCTTTTAAATATGCATTTGTGGTTTATTTACTTTTTAAAAATGTTTTTATTGGTTTTTTAGAGAGAGAGGGAGAGAGAAATAGAAACATCGACGTGAGAGAGAAACATTGATCGGCTGCCTCCTGCATGCCCCATACTGGGGATCGAGGGCACAACCCAGGCATGTGTCCTGACCAGGAGAACTGGGATCCCTTGGTCCATGGGGACGATGCTCAATCTACTGAGCCACACTGACTAGGCTGTGGTTTATTTTTTTAATGGTGAAAATATAGGAAGAGAAAAAAACAGATGACTCTTTACCAGACTGCAAACAATGGCTGTCCCCAGGAGAGAACCATGGGTGTTGTTCACATTCTACATCAACTATTTTGTAATACCTGACTTTTTATAGTAAGTAAAAAGTTTTTGAAGTCAGAAGAACAAGATTTGAAACTGTAATAAAGCATGTAGAACATTTAACCTGAGCGTTTGACATCTTCAGAGCTTGTTATTTACTGGGTGATCTGGGCCCAGCCCCTTCTTCTGAGCGCCCTTGTCTCTATCTGTGCAGTACAGCAAAGTGGCCGGCCTGCCTGCCCGCCAGGTGGACGATGGCAGTGAGCAAAGGTGAGGGCTGGGTCTGCTGGGTCCTTCTGTCTGACTCAGCACTGCCTCCCTGCCGTGTCCCCACCAGGCCCTCCACAGCCCAGCTTCCTACCTCAGCTCCTCCAGCTTGCGCTGGGTGGCCCCTGGCCCCCGACTCCCTGCAGGTGCATAGGCTGCCAGGCAGCGGGCCACCTGATGCTGGACCCGCTGCTCCCGGGCCTGCCGCTGCTCAGCCTGCTGCCGCTCCTCCTCCTGTTGCTGCTCCCAGGCCTGCAGCAGGCTTCTTGGGTGGGGGGAAGAAGAGGGATGGGAGAAGTCTGTGGGGAACAGGGTGCTCATGGAGGGTCAGGGCCCAGATGGGAGAATATAGGGCTAGGTTAATGCATTTTGTCTTGAGGGACAGGCAGGTGGATGAATCGATAGAAAAAAGAAACAAAATGGTGATGTGATCAATGGATGTATGAAGGAATGGATGGATGGTGTGAGTGGTGGAATAGACAACACCTCGATCGACCTGGAACATTCTTCCCCGAGGTCTCATGGCCAGTTCCTTCTCATCAATCCGATTTTTGCTCAAATGTCAGGGAAAGAGACTCCCTGACCAACCCATCTACCTCTCAGGTATTTTCCTGCTCTAGCTATACACCCTGTTCATTTCTGTATTAATTATCCATGCCAAGTAGAATGTAAGCTTCGTGAAGGCAAAGTTTCTTGTCTGTCTTGATGCATTCACCACCAATGTATCCCCAGCAGCTAGAACAGTACCTAACATAGACAGAAACTCAATATTGGTGAAATCATGCATAACTGAATCATGGTCAGATAGAAAGATGGACAGATAGCCTGACTGGTGGTTGAGCATTGTCCCATGGACTGAGAAGTCCTAGTTCAATTCCTGGTCAGGGCACATGCCTGGGTTGCAGGCTCAATACCCAGGGGCATGCAGGAGGCCGCAAATCGATGTTTCTCTCTCACATCGATGTTTTTATCTCTTTCTCCCTTCCTCTTTCTCTAAAAAAAAAAAAAAAAAAAAAAATCAATAAAAACATATATTAAAAAAAAAAAGATGGCCCTGGCCGGTTTGGCTCAGCGGTTAGAGCATCGGCCTGCGGTCCAGAGAGACCCGGGTTCGGTTTCCGCTAAGGGGCACGTACCTCGTTGCAGTTTGTCCCCGGCCCTGGTTGGGTCAGGCGGGTGGCAACCACTCGATGTGTCCCTTTCATGTTGATGTTTTTCTCTCTCTCTCTTTTCCACTCTGTCTGAACAAAATATTGAAAAATGTCCTCGGGTGAGGATAAAAAAAAAAAAAAAAAGATGGACAGATACACAAAGGGGTAGCTGCAGTCCTGTGTAGGAAACCAGAAAGGCCGCGATGAATAATATTGGGCACCTGACCTCAGGCTGTACACGGGGATGGACAGACAGCCCAGGGCAATGTGGTGTGGCTAGAGCGATGATGGAGGCAAGTACAGAGGAGAAATTCCTGGAAGGGCCCTTGACTTAAGAGTTGAAATGTGCCTCTGAGTCAGCTGGGCAGATGAGGGAGGGGGTAGTCCCAGGAGAGGAGGAGGGAGAGCATGGGGCATTCCGGCCACTCTGACCAGCTGGCATGAGTGACAGAAGCCTCCTTACCAAGGAATCTGGGCTTTTCCCCAAAGGCACAGGGAAACATGAAAGGTGACAGGGTAAGAATTGAGAGGTGCTATCAGAATGCTGAATGGTTGCTCACCTACCACCTCTAATCAGTCACTAAGGCCGACTGACAGCCTCCAAATGGACCCCCCTCTCTCCACTCCCATGGCTACCTGTTTGAGGTCCTATCATCCTTCACCTAGACAATGCCAAGAGCCCTCCAGCCCCCACCCAGTCTTCCCTCTCTGTTCCCACTGTCTCTTGTTGAAGCCCCAGTTACGGCAGTTATCTAACTCTACTGCCGTTGTTGCTGCTTTGCCCATCTGTCTCCTTTTCCAGCAGACCTTGAACTTATTGGGTCTGGACCAAGCTGGGTTTTTTATTATTATTACTTTTTATCTTTATTGGTCTTTAAAGAAAGAGAGATAGAAACATTGATGAGAGAGAACATCGACTGGCCACCTCCAGTGCCCCCCGACTGGGCATTTGGCCCACAACCTGGGCATGTGCCCTGACTGGGAATTGAACTGGTGACCTTTTGGTGCAAGGGTCAATGCTCATCCACTGAGCCACACCGACCGGGCTGGACCAAGCTTCTTAAATCTTTATATCCTGAGGACACATGAGGATATGCCCAATATATATTCATTAATCACTTAGTTAATAAATTATGGATGGATAGAAGATGGGAAGTGAATGAAAAGTTGCTTGTGTCAATAGACAGTTGGCCAAGCAGATAGACAGAGAGATGGATGGATGGATCAATAGATGATTGGATGATCAGAAGACTGGTGAACGGATAAAGGAAGGAAAAACTGAAAGAATGAATGACTAAGTGTCTCTTGGAGAACTGGCTCCTTCTCTAGTCCCTGCCCTTGGCTCCCACCCTCCTTCTTCCACCTTACCTGGTGGCCTCCTGTCGTTTGTGGAAGGTGCGGTTAGGGAAGTTGGCAGACTGGAGTGCCTCATTATTACCCAGGTCCTTCCTACTCCTGTTGGAGGCCTGGGCAGCAGCCCGCAAAGCCTTCCAGGGATGTTTCTGGGGGCCTATCCACAGTGAGAGATTTAGGGACTGCCCTCTCTCCTGGCCCATTGGGCAATCCCACCCAGCACCTGGAGCACAGACCGGCCCTGTCTGAACTCTTGGCCCAGGTCACGGGCTCCCCAACTTCTCTCCCCGTTGTGTAACCTCCCAGGGAATCCAGGCATTGAGCCCCACACTCACCACAATCCAAGTTTTGCTGTAACTGTCTCTGCAGCTTCCCCAGGTCCCACGGCCCCTCTGGCTCCGTGGCCCTTGCCTTCCTCCTCTGTGGTTTTTGGGGGTGGTTGGAGCTGGGATTGTTCCCTTGGCACTGCAGTTCACCCTCCTCGGAGGCCTTTTCGCTGGAATTCCGCCCTTTTCTCCGAGAACCTGCCTTCCTTCTGTGGGGGGCCCTGTGTTTCTCCTCCTCAACCTCCTCTGCCTCCCCTGCAAACCATTCCTCCCCCAAGATCGGCCCCCTCCTAGGGAGCTGGAGCAGATCCCCAGGGCTCAGAGCCCTCTCCGCCTCCTCGGCACCCGAGGCTTGCAGCTCAGCAGCCTCCTCAGACTCCGATCCTGATCCTGACCTTTTCCCAGGTGGCTGGAGGCCACGCTCCCTGGGCAGCTCCAGCTCCTGCTCCTCCCCTTCACTAGAAGGGATGGAGATGCAGCCCCAGGCCCTGAACTGCTGTCTCCTCTCCAGGTTTTGCAACTTCATCTTCCAGCAAAAGTCACGGGCCTCCAGGAAGTTGGCTGTGGACTTACGGCTGGACTTGTGCTGGGGTACCGCTGGGGTCAAGGGCAGGGCCCCGTGGCCAGGGGTGGAGGGAGAGCCAGGCAGCTGAAGCGGAGCCTGGCCACCTGTGATGACGCTTTCCCAAGCCCATTGGAAAGGGAAAGAGGGCTTCCGAGGAGAGGGAAGGAGACTGAGGAGGGAGAGGGCAGGGGGCAGAGGTCAGGGTTAGGGGGCTGGCCCCCAGCGGGGCCTGCTGCCATCCCCCCCAGGCCTTCCCACCGCTGCTTACTCCTCAGCCTCAGCAGAGCCATGCCCTTTCTTGTTCCTGCCCCTGGGTGTCCGGTCCTTCTTTGCCTTCTGCCCTGTGCTTTGAGATCTCTGCCTCTGGCTCCGAATTACACTATTACCACTCCCAAGACTCCCCTAGGCAAAGACAGGAGAGAAGGCCCAGCTCCTAGACCCCTTCACACCTCCACCAGGGGGCCCTCCACTTCTCTGCACCTTGGCTGGCCCCTGAAACAGACTGATGGCTACTTCCATTCATAATATTAAAATAGCAACAGCTTAGGATATGCTCAGGACTTTTACCCATGAACTCATTTAACCTTCCCAAGGATGCCGTGAGGTAGATAATCATGCAGATGAGAACACTGAGGCTCAGAGAGGTAAAATTATCTGACCAAGGTCACACAGCCAGTAAATGGAGCCAGGACCTCAACATGTGGAGTCTGTCCCCAGAGCCCAGATTTGTCACTACTACACTATGCTGCTTCTGGGCCCTGGACAGTAATGCTGAACGCCCCATAGGGCCCCGGACTTGCTAAGCCAAGGCAGAAGAAACTCACTACCTTTCCCCAAACCTGCTCCTCTCGCAGTGTTCCCTAAATCGCTCCATCCGGAGCCTGGGAGTCATCCTGCCCATCCGCATAGACCTCCCTCTGGTCCCTTCCCGCTTCGCCTCGAGCCTCCCTGACTCTCACCTGGGCCTCAGCTTCAGTCTCAAAGTCCTCCCTCACCTCATCGTGGCCTCCCCTGACCCCAGGTAACCAGCCTGCCTCTGGGCAGTTGGAAGCCCCTGGTGGGGCCTCCCTCACCTGCTCAGCCAGGGGGATGCCTGACAGAAGCTTGAGCAGCCCTGTGGCCATCCCTGGAGTCTGGAGCCCGGGGTCCTGCCCTGCTCTCACCGACCTGGTTCTGACCAACTGTTGGTGGGTGTTTAGCAGATTGGTGTCCTGCTCCATCCCCCACCCCCATCTGCCAGCCTTGGAACAGTCCTCTCCACCATCTCTATGGCAACCAGTCCTCAGCCAGCTCTCAGCCAGGGCTCTGGCAAACAGTAGGCAAAGGGTCAGCCAGGGTATGTGAGGCCAACTTCCTTCCCAAAGGGAGAGTTCGGCAGGATGCTGAGGAATAGTCCAAGCCTAGGAGTTCGGAAACCCAGGGCCAAGTCCTGCCTCTGCAGGCCTCATAGGTGACCTGGTGTGAGTCCCCTGCCTTTGCTTGGCCTGTGTTTACTCAGCCATCTGGAAGGACCCTGGCACTCCGTGAAGAAGGCCAGGCGGCACCTGAGGCCGGCCCTCTCACTCTGCCTGGCTCCGGGGCTGCCCCACCCTGGCTGAGGCCTATGGGAGCCAAACTGAACTCACAAGATCTGTTCAAACCACTTGCTCTCCCAGGCCCTGGCAGGGTGGGAAGGGCCCAGAAGCTAACTGCCATGTCCAGGAGCGAGGCAGCAGGCAAACCGGAGCCCAGAGGAAGCTCTGGAGGGAGTTAGAGCATCTAAATCTTATCTCAAACTTCTAAGCAGCACCCAAAGGCCTTGATATGGTAAATCCCTATAGGACACCTGGCGCTGACCATCACCAGCAGCATAGGGACATGGTGCCAACTTGAGGCCCTGGAGTGGCCTCTCACCAGCTCTGTGACCTTGGGCAAGTCACTTCTTCCCCTCTGCAAAACTGCCCACCCCATAGGTTTGTTGCAAGAATTCAATGAAATCACAAAGGCAATGCACTCAGTAAACATCTGCTTTTACCACTGTAACAATAACCAGCTGTTACCGGGAGGCAGGGACATAACGGGCGAGAGCACAAAGGAGTTCGAGTCCCAGCCCCTGTACTTGTTGTGCCTTCTCACAGCCGGTTCCGCCGAGGGAGGTGGGGCTGGTGATAACTGTACCTACCTCCTGGGGCCGCCGCGAGGACTAAATCCGACTGTACACGGATCCACACAGAACATTCCCACAGCTCCGAACTGCTATGGGAGTGTCGTTCATTAGCTAACCACGCAGCCCAGCGAGATGGATTATGGAAGTAAATCCCAGCAGATGCCCCAGACGCTAGGGCCTAGAGGCATGTCTTTCTCAGCCCTCTGTGCCTGTGGCCCCTCTTCTGCTCTCGGACTGCGTCCCAGTATCATCCCAGTTAACATCTCTGCGATGAGCACAACCAACCGAGAGCCTGAACACCGCTGCCAGAGAGGATCCATTGTCACTCGAAACAGGAAACTGTTCTTTCCGGTGGTCACCCCATCCCCCATCCCCCTCCTCTGCTGAGTGTCGCCCACTGGACCCCAGGTGGAAGGCACAGGTGTTTCATTTTCAGAGAACAAGCCCCTGGCAGACCCCAACCCAACTGATTTCCTAGATGAAGTCCGGGCCACTTCCTTCCTTAGCGGAGGATTGGTCTGGGCTTCTCAGGTCAACATTTTCATAAGGGGCATCCAGACCTCTCATCTAGCTACACTCATTTCTCAAGTGAGCTCATTCAATCTGACAGCCTTAAAAACCATCTGCTACCCCCAAGTTTGCATGTCTCAGCCCTGACCTTTCCCACGAAGTCAGACTCAGATCCAGCGGTGGCAGCCTCCTACATCTTGTGTACAATGTGCCTTCAGAGTGCATCCGTTTCTCTTGTGCTTGATTTAATCACGTTTCGCACAGGAACGTGCTGTACGGGCTAGGAGCCTGGAAGAGTAGGCTCTACCACCAAGCCCAGGTGAGAAGCAGACTGCCACCTCAGTCTGTGTAAGTGCACCCTGAGGTCCCAACGACAAAATCACCCAGTGAAGCATTTCTCAGAACATATCCCCGTCGTTCAGTGAGGCCTGACTGTATATATTTCTCAACATAAGCGAGATCATACTTTTTCTGCTTAGTAGTATGTTCTGCTCAGTTTTCCATGTCAGTACATGCACTCATTGAGTGTTATAGTCTGACCAACATAGTGTACTAAACCTATCCCCTCCCATCAAATACGCACATGGCTTCCGCCAGCTTCCCTCCCTCAGACCTTGCAGCAGTGACAGCCTCGTAAATGAGCTCTTGCACATGGGTGCTTCTGAAACGTAAGTTCCTATGAGCAAATTTGCTGGCTCTAAGCAATATACCTTTTTAAAAAAATCTTCACCCAAGAGTATGTTTATTGATTTTAGAGAGAAACATTGATGTGAGAGAAACACTAATTGGTTGGAGATCAAACACGAAACCTAGGGATGTGCCCTGACCGGGAATCAAACCTGCAACCCTTTTGGTGTACGGGATGATTCTCCAACCAGCTGAGCCACCCTGTCGGGGCAGCACTATACCTTTTGATAATGCCCAATTGCTTCCTCCAGATGCTCAATCAATATAGATTTCTTTTTTCTTTTTATCGTCACTTGAGGACATTTTTCCATTTTTTTGTTCAGGTAGAGCAGGAGGAAGAGAGATGAACAGAGAGAGAGAGAGAAACATCGATATGAAAGGGACACATCGAGTGGCTGCCACCCGCATGACCTACCAGGGCCGGGGACAAACTGCAACCGAGGTACGTGCCCTTAGTGGGAACCAAACCCGGTTCTCTCTGAACCGCAGGCCGACACTCTAACCACTGAACCAAACCAGCCAGGGCTCAATCAATATTATAATTTTTAAAAATTGTTGTTAAGCCCGGCCGGTGTGGCTCAGTGGTTGAGTGTTGACCAGTGCGCCAAGAGGTCACCGGTTCAATTCCCGGTCAGGGCACATGCCCAGGTTGTGGGCTACATCCCCAGTGGGGTGCATGCAGGAAGCAGCCAATCTATGTTCTCTCTCATCAATGTTTCTCTTTCTCTCTCTCTCTCTCTCTCTCTCTCTCTCTCTCAAATCAATAAAGAGAAAAAAAAATTTTTTTAATTGTTGTTACCTGCCCAGCCAGTGTGGCTCAGTGGTTGAGCATCGTCCCATGTACTGAGAGGTCCCGGTTCGATTCCTGGTTAGGGCACATGTCCCTGTTGGGGGACATGTGGGAGGTGGCCAATTGATGTTCTCTCTCATCGATGTTTCTATCTCTCTCCCTCTCCCTTCCTCTCTTTCTAAAATCAATAAAGAAAAAAAAATTTATAAAGAACCTTTTAAAAAAAAATTGCTGTTAACCTGATAAATGAAAAAACATTATCTCATTGCTATAACTTGCATTCCCTTCATTACCTGTGAGATTAGTTAGTGTATTTTCATGTCTTTCTGGGCCACTCGTGCTTCCTCTGTGAATTGCCTGTTTGTGTGCTTTGCACACTTCTTGGATCCTTGGGAGCAAAGAGCTAAGTTTATTGTATTCTTTATTTCACAGTGTGAAGAATCGTCAGTGAATGCAAGGCCATCCTCTCCTTTTGGTTTAGTTTTTGCCTACTTTAGCTTTGACCCCCACCCCCACCCCCATCACCATCCCACTCACATGTGAACGGATCCTCATCTAATATCACATTTGTGGTTTCCGTTTATATAAGGGTATTATGCTATCGATCTCATCTTTGTTCCTTACTCTTTTCTTTGAACATTGTGGTTTTTTAATTTATTGATTTGAGAGAGAGAGCAAGGGAGGGAGGGAGAGAGAGAAAAAAAAAAAATCAATTTGTTGTTCCACTTATTTATGTATTCATTGGTTGATTACTGTATGTGCCCTGACTGGGAATCAAACCCACAACCTTGGTGTATCACAACAACACTCTAACCAACTGAGCTACCTGGCCAAGGCTGAACATTGTGTTTCTATTTATTTATTATTTTTTAATCTTTTTTTCTTTATTAATTTTAGAGAGAGAGCTAGAAACATCAATGAGAGAGAACATCCACTGGCCGCCTCCTGCATGCCCCCCACTGGCCCACAACCTGGGCATGTGCCCTGACCAGGAATTGAACCAGTGACTTCTTGGTGTATGGGTCGATGCTCAACCACTGAGCCACACTGGCCAGGCTGACCATTGTGTTTTTATTTATTTATTTATTTTTATCCTCACCCGAGGATATTTTTTCTATTTTTCGTTCAGGTAGAGTGGGAGGGAGAGAGAGGAAGAGAGAGAGAGAGAAACAATGAAGCAAAAGGAACACATTTAGTGGTTGCCACCTGCACAACCCAACCAGGGCCGGGAACAAACTGCAACCGAGGTACATGCCCTTCGCGGGAACCGAACCCAGGTCTCTCTAGACCGCATGCTGACGCTCTAACCGGCCAGGGCGAACACTGTGTTTTTAAAAGCTACCTGTTGCCCTGGCCAATTTGGCTCAGTAGTTAGAGCATTGGCTCACGGAATGGAGAGTCCTGGGTTTGATTCCCTCTGGGGGCATGTACGTTGGCTGCAGTTTGTCCCCTTGCCCCGGTTGAGGTTGTGTGGTTGGCAACCACTCAATATGTCTCTCTCAGATGGATTTTTCTCTCTCTCTCTTCCTCCCTCTCTCCCTCCCTGTCTCCCTCCCCGTCTCCCTCCCCCTCTGTCTGAAGATAAATGCAAAAGTGTCCTCAGGTGAGGATAAATAAATAAATAAATGAAAGCTACCTGTTGATTCTGATTGTTGCTTAGTGCTCCGTAGTGCGCCTCCATTACACTTTACTAAGCCATTTTCCTAAGGATGGATGCCAAGATTGCCCCACCTCCTGGTTCCACAAAGGGCACTGCAGTCAACGCCCTTGAATATGCCTCTTTGTACACCTGCACGAGAGCTTCTGTGGGTGATTTACCAAGGATTGAGTGTGCAGGCTCTTGAAACAAACGTAGCCTCATTTCCAACTGTGTGAGAGAGAGAGAGAGAGAGAGAGAGAGGCTTGATAGTTTACATGTCTAAAGGGGTGACCAGGGAGTTGCATCTGCCCACACTCTCACCACACGAGGTATAATCCACCTTAGGAGTTTT